TAGAGATATTAGCATCTAAATAAATACATACATTCTTTGTACTTTTATAAATGTAAATGTTTTTGAATTATATATTGTCTATATTATATACTCAAGTAACTTATTATTATATTAATCTGGAAAGGCGAAGGAAGCGTTCTTGCAGGACTCCCAGAGTTCATCAAGATTCTTTGGATTCATTTTCAATGCCTCCTCCTTTATCTTACTCCAGACATGCTCAATAATGTTTAAGTCTGGTGACTGGGCTGGCCAATCCAGGAGCATCTTGACCTTCTTTGCTTTCAGGAGCTTTGATGTGGAGGCTGAAGTATGAGAAGGAGCGCTATCCTGCTGGAGAATCTGCCCTCTCCTGTGGTTTGTAATGTAATGGGCAGCACAAATGTCTTGATACCTCAGGCTGTTGATGTTGCCATCCACTCTGCAGATCTCTCACACACCCCCATACTGAATGTAACCCCAAACCATGATTTTCCTTCACCAAACTTGACTCATTTCTGTGAGAATCTTGGGTCCATGTGGGTTCCAATAGTTTTTCTGTAGTATTTGTGATGATTGTAACGTAGGTCAACAGATGATTCATCAGAAAAATCCACCTTCTGCCATTTTTCCCAGGGTATAAGCAGGAATTTCTAAAGGTAATTTCAATACCTTTTTAAGACTTTTTAAAGACCTTCTGAGAATATTTTAAGACCTCATAGCCAGTACTAATCTGTATCAAACCTTTAACTTAATAAACAGTTGTTAATAAACAGTTGTAGTTAAAGAACTTAATGGAGCACAACCATGCAACAAAGCTCAGATAAGCTCGGTTTTTTGGGAGTCAAACACTTAGGACAGTGGTTCTCAAAGTGGGGGTCCGGACCCCTTGAGGGGTCGCGGAACAATGAAGGGGGGTCGCCTGGTGATTTCCAAAAATCTACTTATTATTATTAGGCCATAACCAACTGAAGAGAAAAAAACAGTTGTTTATAGTTACTATAGTAGCTTATTTACTTGTTCTATTGGATTGCGACCCCTGGGGTCAATACATTATATTAAAGACAGCAGTAGCGTCAGATGCAGCAGATTGATTTTATAACACCAGGTTAAACTTTCTGGCCCATTTACAGCACTGACATAAATAAAAAAAATTAAACGAAGAATAGACTTTGGTCTATTGGTGTGTGTGTGTGCGCGCCACTGCAAGCAAGTTTTCTGTTTTTATAACCACCTCAGAGGATATTGGGGGTCGCGAGTCACTGGCATTGTTATTTTATGGGTCGCGTGCTGAAAAGTTTGGGAACCCCTGACTTAGGACAACGCTTGAACAAAATTTAAGACCTTTTAATTACCTTTTAAGGACCTTAATTTTCTCATAATTGATTTATCAACTTATAATACTTTTTAAGACCCCGCGGACACGCTGTTTCCAAATTATCAACTACAAGTCAAGGTTTTATTTGTTGCACTTACAACTGGGATTCACAACAAGGCTTTTGTCAGGTAGTGTATAACTTTCTATAAAGCTAGTGTTTCTTATTTTATTGCTTCAATCTTTACTCTAAAAAATAACCACAAAATAGCTGATTAAAAAAAGGCAACCAACAGAAGTTATAAAAAATAGAACTTTATTTCGATCATGTGATCCATGACATACCCACTGAAAGCATTCACAGATGCTAGCATTAGCTTTGTGCGTAAACACCTCGAGGGATATTTTAAAATTAAAATTTACAAAAAAAAAAGCAAGAAAAATATTTTACACAATCCACACAATTATCAAATATACTCTCATATACATCAGACATGTACGAGTCTACACTTTCCAAATGCATACATGTCCTACATAAATATACAGCCGATTTTCCAAATATCTACAAATCATACACGCTCCCATCTCGCATACACACACTCTCTTTCTCACACACACACAAACACACCACAAGCATGTAAACCTCTTAAAAAGTGGTTTAAGTGGGCCTTTTTTCCCCTGTCAACACATCCCACAATCCCTTGCAGTCTGCCACGCTGCTTCGTTAAAAACTCAAACGGGTGGAGTAATACTGTTTTAAATTAATAAATATGAAGGGAAAAGTTTCCCATCTCCCCAAGCAAACAAATCAGAACTTAGTCATTTACTCTATGCTTTAAAATCGCTTGCACAAAACACCCGACTCTCATTTCTCACAATGAGAACTGAGAATGGTTCATGAATTAATATATCAGAAGAAAGGCATTTCTATGGTTGAACAGTAACTTTGACAGTATTTCGATGTTGTTAAGCATCATAATCAGTCTAGCACTGTAAAGTTACATAATGACTTAAACGTACTCTCCGAAATACAAACAATCCATCAGCTAGTGAAGAGTCTGTAGTAGTCATTCATGCCTAATGTACTATCCAGAGCATATACAGATCGGGGGTCTTTTTTTAGATGGATCGTAAACAGGCAAAACATGCCATCTCAAGACTCCTGAGAGCATCTCCCTTGGCTTTCAGCAATTCTATAACACTCTCATGGCAGGACGCTTCCATTTTAATGCTTCTTCTTTCTTTTTTGGGACGCTTGTCTAGGGTGACCATAATATTTCATTTTGGAAAAAGAGGGCTGTGAAGTGGGATTGTCATTGACAAGTGCATTGCAGCTGTGAAACTTACTGAAATTACACATATGGCAGAGTTTTTGACTTCTTGTCCTCAAAAAAAGTGGAGGTGGCATCCCAGTTAACTTTTTGCTAATTGATGAGGAGGGATTGTCATTGACAAATGCATTGAAACCCTAAAATTAGGGCTGTGCAAATAATCGAAAATCCGATTTCGATTGCGGTTTTGGCTTCAAACGATTATGAAAAAGCATTAATCGAGATAAACGATTATTGCATCATATACCGCCCTCTTTCCAGCTGTTGCTCCTAAAAGCGCGAAAGACCACGTGCTTATCATCCAGAAGCATGCGGCCGGTCAGCATTCGGTCTCATTTGCACACTGAAGCTTGAATTATACTTGCGCCTGGCGCCGCATCGCGCACCTCCGCTGACCGCGCACACCTAGCGAAACGGACGAGGCGCAGACATCTAAAGTCATCTTAATGTGAGCGCTTTAATGGTCAAATAGATGTGAAAACGCAGTGTTTAGTGAGTATTCATAATAACCCTCATTTGTGTAATAAACAAACGAGTTACAAGTTGAGGATCAAAAGACACGTGAAAGAGAAACCATTAAAGAGACAGCGCGCGATGTTGTTTTTATCATCAATCAAACAAAACGAGAAAATCCTCTGCTCTTGACTGAAGGATTTTTGTAGCTAAAGTTTTATTCTTATAGAGAAAATCCCTAAAGCACAGTTTGTTTCATATTTTTATTCTATTGTATTTTTGTTTTGCTTTGCAGGGAGGAAAATAACTGTATGTATACATTGAAGTCAGAATTATTAGACCTCCTGAATATTAGCAATTCTTTTTCTGCCCAATTTCTGTTTAATGGAAAGAATTTTTAAAAACTTATTTCTGAACATAATAGTTTCTATATATCATTTCTGATTTCTTTTATTTTTGCTATGATGACAGTACATAAAATGTTTCTAGATATTTTTCTAAATACAAGCATTCAGATTAAAGTGCAATTCAAAGGCTTAATAAGGGTAATTAAGCAGTTCATTGTATAACAGTAGTCTCTTCTGCAGACAATCAAAAAATATATTGCTCAAGGGGGCTAATAATATTAACCTTAAAATGGGTTTCAAAATATTTAAACCTGCTTTTATTCTAGCTAAAATAAAACAAATAAGCCTAGAAGAAAAAATATTATAGGAAATACTGTTAAAATTCCTTGCTCTGTTAAACATCATTTGGGAAATATTTATTTAAAAAAAAAAACATATTTCCAGGAGCGCTTATAATTTTGACTTCAAAAGTTATCATTTTAAATAATCGTGATTACAATTATGACCGAAATAATTGTGATTATGATTTTTCCCAAAATCGAGCAGCCCTAGAACTAATAAATAAGCAGAGTTTTTTCCTTTCTTGTTCCTCAAAAATAGGTGGAGGTGATATCTCGGAAATTTTGGGTAAATTTTGTCTTATTCTTTTAATTTGATCTAGTAAAACATTCAACCTGGGCTCATTGTGGAAACGTAGCCCCGCGGACGTTTCTGCGGACCGCGATTTACGTCCCGGTAGGTACGTATTCGAGCGGTTTTTGTTTTCGCGGATCCGCAAGAGGCCGCTGTGCGCGATTTTTTCGCGTCTCGGGCGCCTCTCGGGAGCGCGTGCCGTTCGCGCCTGCGCCGTTCTCGCACGAAAAGCCGCCGGATCAGTCGACTCGACCGCTCTCCTCTTCCTCCTTCCCTAAACTCGAGCGACGGTTCGCAAAAGCCGTCTAGGAAAAAAAAAAAGGAAAAGCCCTCGTCTTCGATCACGTTTTCGGATCCCGCCGCGTTCTCGCCCTTATTTTTCAGATTCCATTTTTCGTCTTACCTGATTTCCGGAACTGCTGTTCCCCGGACCCGATCCCGGTCGTCGCCCCCGCGGCAGGCTCCTCCTCCTCCTCCGGGGCCTCCGCTCTGCCGACTCAACGCTGTGAGCTAAGTGGACAAACTGGTTGCATCGGGAAAGCCCTCCACTCGGAGGCGAGCCGTCGGCTGGCGAAAAAAACTAAACGCGGCCTTACGTACCTCCGGCCACGTAAATCGCAGTCTCCAGAAACGTCCGCGGGGCTATGTTTCCAGAATGAGCTTGGGTTGAAAACATTATTTCAAAAGGCTATCGTTAAGCGTAGTTACTTTTGAGGTTACACATTTGAGGTCTGACGGTAGCTGTTACTGCCTACCTGATTGTTGTCAAAAAAAGGGAGTGGTACAAAATTTGTTGGTGGCCACCTTGTAATCATATACAGTTGAAGTCCGAATTATTAGCCCCCCTTTGAATTTTCTAACATTAACTGTATATGGTCACCCCAGGCTTGTCCCTAATCAGCCTGGTATTCCTTCCTGCTTAGCTTTCTCCTCATTCTTTCTTCATTTTTGGCTTCTTTCGACACCATCAATTCATCACGGAACAACAGGAACATTCTTACAGACGTACTGGAGAAGTGTTGGACACCCGTTGAAGCCCTTGTCAAGCACAACTCAGTCCGCATTGAAGGTGGTCTTTTAGTTGCAGACGTCGACATCGTGTGAAAGTACGGTCTAGTAAGGCTGAGGAACCCAAGGAAACAGATGTGGGCTCCGAGTCCCTGCCAGAAAAGCCAAACTCAAACAACCCTCGATCCTGCCAGCAGGAAACAGCCGCCAGTCCTGTGACTGAGAGGAAGACAACAAGAGAGGCTTTTTGCAGCCCTCGCAGGCGTCAGTCTGTGTACTCCGCTACGATTGACAGCAGAACGGTGATGTCATCTGGCTTTCCTCCTATACAAAGAAAACAGGGTGTGCTGTCAGTGCCAAATATTTAATGGATATCTACAATATCATTAGTGTAAGAATGGGTTTTAACCACAGTGATTTGAACTGTAGTTCTGCCGTATGATCAGTATACACTACAATAAAAAATTGTACATTCAAGTCAAACCATTCTTCTGCAATCTTATGCCAAAAACGGAAGTAGGGGCAGTATTGATAGCTTAAAATGTGGGAGAGCGTTGACATTAACACTTAATTGCTCCATATTGCAATACAATACAATCACATATTGTATTGCAATATGGAGCAATTAAGTGTTAATGTTAAATTAAAAATTATTCACAAATACTTGAAAATAAGATGATTTAATGACAATAATTCTCTATGGTTACAACTTAATTAATTACAAAATAACTATCTAAAATGATAAAATATGAAATGATAAAACATATGATAATAATTGTACCCAGCTTAAATTAAAATAAAGTTATCAGAAGTAAGAGAGCAAATAGGCCTCAAAGAGGCAGAGAGCAGTATAGCCAGAGAAGAGAAGCAGAGCAGGAAAAGAACAGCCCAGGAAAAAAGCCAAAGCCAACGTTCACCAGCTATTTTGTCTCTTTCTTGACCATGTGACCAAAGCCCAAATACTGAGACATTCAAAATGACCAATCAATATATGACCACATCGTAAAACCCCCAAAGTCCACACACCACACCACACACTTTGCCTTTGGAAGTTGTGTGAGCCTTCTTTGGTTAAAAAGACCATATAAACAAATGCATATGATAATTTAGACTCTTACATCAGAAGCAAGTCATTTAGGAGTGTAAAATTGCCACAACCTAATATTGAATAAAACAGCAGTTTCTATCCAAAGAACTGTTCATCCGAAACACATCAAACTAAATTTGACAATCTGCAGCTGAAAAAATATTAAATATTATTATAAAGACTAATATTTAATGCTTTCAGCATTTTGCAATTTTGCGATGGCTGAATTTATCTCAAAATTAAGCAAACGCCACAACTTTTCAAATTTGGCATTTTTCTGAAATGCTGTGGTTTTCCTGCAAATTCTGGGTCTAGACGCTTTCTATGACGTCATCTCGACACTGATTCACCCAAAACAAAGACCATGTGGATGCAAACAACCCTTGCTAAGTGGCAACCTCCAGCTCTCCCTCCTGAAGCTAAACAGCAAAATCCTCTGAGCAAGATTTACTCAGTTCAGAGAGTATTTGGTCCCTCTATTTATAAGGGCAAACCGGTTGGTAAAAAGTAAAGCAGCTCAGTCTGCGGAGTTGCTTAATGATCCTCTGCTGAGATTTTAAGAGATTCAATGTATTATATTTCAGCTGAGGCTGTGACTGAAGTCAGTTGTAGTTTTGTGTTTCTCTTCTGTGCTTCTGTTTATTAACAGCAGGTGTTCATCATCAGTGCTCGATCATCACCCAATTAATCCTTTCATTGTCTCATTGACTTGAGTAACATTAACTCATTTTAGACAGCGACCAAATACTATCTTTATGGACTAAACTTTACTTAGAGGATTTTGCTGTGTAATACGGAAGTAACTGAAACTGCAATGCATAGAAATTCCGCTAGTCCTGGCTCCAAAATAGAGCAAATTTCTATTGACCCCACTGTTAAAATGTATTTAATATAAAATGTATATGTGTAAAATGTGAGTTAAATTATATACTTGTATACCTTCTCTATAAATGTATTTGTTTTATTTAAGATCCTTTATCATTTGTATTTTTCTTTAGAGCTGTTATGCACTCGATGAGTGACGTCACGGATACTACGTCCATATCTTTTACAGTTTATGTTTTACACACATCAATATCGCAGGTGGCACTATATACCTTTGAGCTCAGGTAGATCTCGATGACTCCCCTTTTTGCTTGTTGTAGCTAAGTGTTGGATATGTATGCTGAAAAGTGTACTCAGAGTTTAGCTAATGTATTTTGATTAATTGTTTAGAGGGCTTGTTTTTGAACTGTGGGAGGAAACCGGAGGACCCGGGGAAAACCCACACGACCACGGGGAGAACGAGCAAACTCCGCACAGAAATGCCGTCTGGTTTGGAAAGGAATTAAAGGGCCATGAAACCCCCTCGTTTCAGCAGGGTGTTTTCACACCTCTACTTTGGAAAAAGTCAGAAAAGTGGGCGTGTCCAGCTCTGTTTAGGGGGGAGTGTCGGAGGAAGAAAAGTGGGATGGTGTGGGAGTGTCTATTTGGGCACGCTCGAGTTTCAGAGTCAAAATACACACACACACACACACACACACACACACACACACACACACATGAGAAAGTGATGGTGTTTAACCTACATGGACATCTGTAGTCGAATTATTTGCCAAATTATTAAATGGTGGACTTTAACTGCAGTTTGGCTCTTTCATTCAGGGAATTCATTCATGCCCCTCGCGACAAACGAGATATTTGATTCGAGGATCTGCTCTAAGCGTGTATTTTTCATGCAATGTTTGATACCGCACGGCGAATGAGAGAAAAAAAACCTCCGCATTTCCCAGAAACTTAGATGCACACGGCAGGTAGTGTCAGAAAGCCGCGCGTGTTATTCCGGTCACTAAATGCGGTAAAAAATCCTACACGAGGTTAAAGTTTGGTTGTGGTGCTAACGTTTTTACACTCTGTGCAATAGTTTGTTAGATACGAACAAACTGAATAAACAAAGAGCACTGGACGCTCACTTACCAAATCTGTAGAGACAGGACAATCACCAGCAACTAGAGCTGTGTCTTTATGAAGAGAATACTACAAACGAATCCAGATCTCAGCGTTTGCAGATGAGAACAGCTCTCAGGTAAACAATAATCCTCCTTAGACACGTAAGTTATTGTTGTCGCGCGTCGCGTACACTGTTAATCCACACGTGACTCCAGCTGAGCTCTCACAGAGAGAAAATGAAAACGAAACTTAACTGCAGCAAACAATAAAAGCAACACTTCACGCTTGTTTTGCCAACACAACGTGGCGTCTCTGTCCTGAAAACACGGTGATAGTAATGAATATTAATGAAGTTGCACAATAGAGCGCGCTGATTGGTTTGAACCAAGCATTACTCATGCATTAATGCAACACACTGTAAGACGTAATAAGACACACTCTGGCACAGACGTCCAGTCTGCACGCTGGAATACACGCTATTATGTCATGACCGTGACGCAGCTTCAAAAATTCGTTTCAAACCGGAAGTACGAATTTGCTTGAAATAACGCAAAAACAACCAATTTACACTTTTTAGTGAAATATAGGTGTCCTAATAGTGTTTTTAGCAGTGTGGGACACATATACGACTGTCGACAGCTCAAAAAATGTGTTTTGGTGTTTCGTGACCCTTTAAACCAGGGGCATTCTTGCTGTGAGGCAACAGCACTAATCGCTGGCCACCATGACGCCCGTTTGAAAGGAGGGAAAGTAGGGTTGGGTGGGGGGATTTCTTCAAGATGAAGATATTGAGATGAGAAAAGTCTGGTTATTTATAGTGAGTTAAGGATCGTCTGATAGGATAATCAGTCATTAGCTAAAGTTGGAACAGCTGTGAACAATCATAAGCACGTGATCCTCTCGAAATTTGTTTATGAATAAACTTATATATATAGAAGTCCAGTTATTATTTGTTGCTCTTACAACTGGGATCAACGTCAAAACTTTTGTCAGGTAGTGTAGAATTTTAGTACAAGGTTTACAATAACTTAACAGATTTGTCAACAATCAACATTAAGAAATATATTTAAAAACTTTGTTAGTTAAACTGTTGTTATATTTACTGTAAATATGTTTTTAAAATAAATCACAATAAATATCGGGTTTCTTTTATTCGTTATAATTGGTCAAAATGTTTTTACAGCATTAACTATAAAAATCCTGAATTAAACCAAACAAAACTGAACAAATGTTCAACATAATATTGTGTTGAATTGATAAACGGTTTACCTTCAGTGCAGTGTTTACCTTTAGTCAAACGCATAATAGTAATTGCATTCTATTATTTAGCGAATAATTATCGTCAGAACAAATGTGTGCACTCTAAATGTCAACGACGGCTATTATCGTGACCATTATCTTACAGAAAATTGCAAACGCGACAGTTGATGGTTATTTAAAAGGCTTTTATGCAAGGCCTTTAATAAAATAACAATTTAGAGGTTTTAAAAGGAGTATATCTCACCTCTGACATTCAAGCCATTATCGCAGGCAAACTGTGCAAAAGGAGACATGTAATTGGGGTCGTATGCTAGAACATGGGCCTGTTCAGCAATACTCTTGGCTGTTTGCTGGATGCTTTCATAGTTGGTGTTCTGAAAGCAGAGCATTTATATTAATGTCACTGGAGGACAAAAAAGTGCACAGAAGTGTTATATATAGATGCTCTGGTACCTTAAGCTTTTTGAGTTCTTGTAAAATCATGTAGTCTGGCATGTTGTCAAAGAGACCATCTGTAGCTGTGAGGATAATGTCACCCAACTGCACATCGAAGGATGAGCTATCTGCAGCGTCAGGGCTGTGGGAAAGCAGAAAAACACAAAAGTGTGACTTTAAATGCAAGAAAACTTGTGTATTAAAAAAACTACAAGTTTTATGTCTGTGAGATGAAAATATAATATATAGAAAGCTGAACAATTAACCCAGATGATTTCTATTTTTCTTATATACAGTTGAAGTCAGAATTATTAGCCTCCTGTTTATTTTTTTTCCCTAAATTCTGTTTAACGGAGAGATTTTTTTTCAACACATTTCTAAACATAATAGTTTTAATAATTCATTTCTAATAACTGATTTATTTTATCTTTGCCATGATGACAGTAAATAATATTTGACTACATATTTTTCAAGACACTACTATAAAACTAACGCCCCTTTCACACGGGGCTTCAGCGTCAACGCTTGACTGAAGGCGTGTCTGAAGTTGGGGCTGAACCCATCGTAAAGAAGCGTCAGCCAATGAAATTCAGTCAGCTAGGCCACTGTCTAACTGGTGTATTTGCATACAGCGATCTGAATGGCTGACGCTTCTGTCGGCGCTTGAAAAGTTGAGCTAGTCCCAATTTCTGCCGGGAGCAATGCCTCTGAAGTGGCGCAGATGCATCCACAATGCAATTCGGCAATGCCTGACGTCACCCATTCAAAGTGAATGGGAAGCGTTGATGCTGACGCCCCGTGTGAATGGAGCGTTAGTGACATGCAGGGGTGCATTTCCCAAACAACGACATAACTTGCGGCTAAACTATCATAGTGCGATGCATAGTTTGGGAAAAGAACGATGAGAAGTAGTGTTGTGACGAGTGTTTTCTAAAACCTGTAGTTTTTCTCTCGCAGATCCATCGCTTGAACCATGTTAGTTGTAACGTAAAACGTAATAAAGCCATAATGAAGCTCTAAATGGGGTGGAGTAACTACTTCTTTAGAAAAGAACCCCATAATTTCTTTGTGCAAATTATATATTGTTTTACACACATACACATTTAAAATAAAATCCGATAATAGATTTAGTAAAAACATGCACTCGCTTTCAATATTAACTTAAACATATGTAAATGGAACATATATTAAACATATATGCTTGCTTTACTAATATTATTGAGAATATGACAAATCCTATTATAAAACATAAAATCCCCTACAAAAGACATACAAATTCAACACATATTTAAATCTCAAATATAAATCATATAAATAAATAAATAATGAGGCTATTTATTAAGAAATAAAATTTAATATTGATTATGTATTAGAAATGAAAAAAATTCATACTTTAATAATAATATTAATGATTACTATAAAAAAATAATAATTATTATTATTATTATTATTATTTTTAAGTAGGATATTGCTTATTTGTTTATTTATTTATTTTTTCGAAAAGTCTACTTTTACAATTTGACACAGCAGAATCTTCTAACCAGCAGTCTCATGTCATATACAGAACAGATCCTTAGTAAATAACCTACTATAAATTAAAAGAATTAACGTATGCCATGTTTTTTGTTTTCACAAGCTTTGGAGACGTAACATAAATTCCGCTTTTAAATAATACGTCACCTATAGCTTTCACCATGAGGCTGTGTTCAAAATGACATCAATGTTTTCAAAGTGCACTGCGAAGGGAGCACAATTGTAGATTGCTAAAACTAAACTGTAAAAATTGTTAGAAAGCAAATTACACCTAAGAGAGATGACTTTAACGCTTTTTTATTTTTAATCATTCTTACTTTGAATGTTGGAATGTTCTAAATGATATGGGGGATAAGTGGGAATAGAACACAGCCAGGAACTATGTTTCTAACTACAGCTCCAGAGCTGTAGCTGCAAGTCCTCAATATCACGACGCAGTTTGCGAATGTTCGTTGGAGCGACAGATTTGGGAAATGGCAAATCAACAAACTATGTTTGTAGCGACGGAACTTGCGAGTTAGTTGGCTAACGATGGTTTTGGGAAATGCACTCCAGATTAGGGTAATTAATTGTATAATGATGGTTTGTTCTGTAGACTATCGCAAAAAATATAGCTTAATGGGGCTAATAATTTTGTCCTTAAAATGGTGTTTTGTCCTTAAATGGTGTTTATTCTAGCCGAAATAAAACAAATAAGACTTTCTCCAGAAGAAAAAAATATTATCAGACATACTGTGAAAATTTCCTTGCTTCAACATCACTTGGGAAATATTTAAAATAGAAAAAAAAAATTCAAAGGGGGGCTAATAAATCTGACTTGAATGTATATTTTCCCTTTATCTCACGGGCATGAAACTCTCCAACCTTTCAGAAAAAACAATATCTTAAAGCACAATAAACCAAAACTAAACTGTACTTAATTCACTTGTTTTAAAACTGTGCTTTTTTCATAGTTTGAAAATGAATGGTAAAAGTGAAAAAATATATTTATTTTTAGTCCAAAAAAAGTTAAACCCATTATAAATCTGAAATAAAGTTTTGCCACATTTTTGTTCAATCAACATTCTTCAGGCTTAATAGGTTAAATATTTAATGTAGGGGTGTCAAAATTAATTGTTTCTTCGGTGCACCGCGATACAGACGCGGACAATTCGGTATCGATTCAGTAATAACCATAACCGGTTATTATGTAGTAACGTCATTTATCTCCTATGCGCTCTGTCGCGAGGGAGGTGAGCCAGCCAACTCAGGGCTGGCCCGTGGCATAGGAACCGTAGGCAAATGCTAAGGGCGCTGTATATCCAGGGGGCGCCAGAAATGAGCGCGCTTCAGTTGGTTTTGTTTTCGATTTTCCTGACACACTTTCAGTTATAGACGGCAATAACTCAAAAAACGCTTACCCTAAAAAGATCTAAAGTGTGTTTCCTACAGAAAGACAAAGCTGGTTATGTTTCACAGCTGTCTTTCTTTTTTTCGCTCGACATTACGAGCACTGCTCCGTTTAAGTCGTCGCAGTCTGCATTTACTTTAGCCGGCAGAGCTTGCGCTGAGAGGAGCTTTCTGTAAGGGGCCGTCAGAAAAGTGCCTATTTTTTTCGTTTTTCTGCTCCGCTCAGCGCGAGCGCTTCCTGTTGCAAGGGCTTAAGTGTGTTTGTTTGTGTGTGTGTTTGTTTGTTTGATGCTTTCTATGTTTGTGAATGTGTTTGAATGAGAGACAGTGTGGTGCTGTGTCTGTGTGTTTATACAGACAGCTTGTTATAGCCTCCCCCCTAAAATATAACACTATATATGGAAAGCATCGTCAATGCACCGTGATGCACCGAGATATCGAATTGAACCGAATCGATGGCATGATAATCGTAACCGAACCGAACCGTGAGACCAGTGTAGGTTCACACCTCTAATTTAATGTGATATTCCAGTTTTAACGGTTCACACATTTGAAGCAATATTCAACTTGCTCAGTCTGGATATAGCACTTTAATGCAGTTTTCAGTCTAGAACAGTGGTTCTCAAACTTTTTCCATCAAGTACCACCTCAGAAAAAATTGTTTCTCCAAGTACCACCAAAATGAGCAGTATTGAAATACAGTAGCGTAGTAGGCCCAATAAAGCAGCTACAACTCTGCACAGTAAAAAAAAATGTGGCAGATTACCTCAGAAATATAGGCTATATGTCATATATGGCATATTATATCCATCATTTTTGATAAATTTTGAAATGTGTGTAGCATGTACATGACATATTTCATTCCTCCGCGTACCACTAAAGGAAGCCTGCGTACCACTAGTGGTACACGTACCACAGTTTGAGAACCACTGGTCTAGAATATTGCAGTTCAACCACATGTACAGAACATATAGAGAATCGAAATTACGTTACTCTCAGACCCTAGGTACCCAACATATAATATTAATAATAAAAAAAAGTTCTAGGAAAGAATTTACAATAAATACAATTATACATAAAATGAAATCTAAATATATACATAAAATGTAGTCTAAAGAGTAATAATAAAAAAAAATGTAAACAATGCAATACAATGACATTAAGGGCATATGGCAATGAGTGCAAACCAGAGTTGTGCAGATATGGAACAGTGTATAGTGCAAGGTGTTTTAAAGTTTTTTTTTTTAAGGTGTTAAGGGTATTGATTTACCTATATAATAAGTAAATATTAAGTAATAATAATTAAGTATTGATTTACCTATATAATAAGTAAATATTAAGTATAATAAGTAATATTAATTAATTACATGAACCTATGTTTAGGGTTAGAATGTGGATTGGGTTTGAGGTTAGTTGCATTAACTGTGCATAATTATTTGTATTTACTGTAGTTACTAATGTAATTAAATAAAGCACATGGAACTTGTTGAACAAGGACACCTTAATATAAAGTGTTACCGATGTGACATCTTAAGAATCTAAAGATCCATCAAAACTATATCAGTAATGCACATTCTCTGCTGACCAAGTTAAAACATGATTGTGTTTAAGTTGCAGTCGCATTGGCGTTTGCAGACCATATTTAGGAGGCATAAAAGCAGTTTCAGTCTAAGAAGCTTATATGGCTTGATCCTCATTACAGTATAAAGCACGCGGAAACATGGAGATCAGCTGTGAAGAGTTGCGTTCTGTTCCAGGAAGTCTGCGGCAGACGGTGTGCCCAGTGACTCTATGAATACACTGGCTGTGCTTCCCTCTGTCTGCGCCAAGCCGGCCTCAGGTCAAGCAGTGTAAACTTGATACTGAGTTTGAAGAATAATAATCAATTCGGAGAATCGAGTAGTGGAAATCACTTTAAAGTGGTGTTGAAGATTTACACCCACAAACTGGAGGATATCTCTGTCATTAAGTGTACTACTATTAGCTCATTGTCAAGCAGAAACCAGCTAATGTCAGGTTTTGCAGAGGCCATGCTAAGGTTGTCTCCATTAGCTTAGTAGCCGTATCAAATGTCGGGAGAAAGATTAAAGGTGACTGTATGCTGCTCACTGAGGAAAGGGGGCCATAACTGTGGTAAATGTATGAATTAGGGTTGTTTACTAGGCTACTCTCTTAGAAATGTTTAGTGAATGAACAGCTATTCGGTTGAGTAATTAACAGATTTCTCACAGTAGTGTGTGATATTGACCAAAACAATTATATTCATATTTTGGGGGTAGTATCTTTGTATCTTACCAAGTATTGTAGCTGGTTTTAGCCTGCCATGCACAAACAATATTACATTTAAATCCCAGAAACATCACTTAAACAATTTATGTGAACTGGCTGATTCATTTAGAAATGAAGCAAGTGAATGTTTATTTATGAATGGAGCTGAATCAATGACCAAAATGATCTGTTAAAAAAAATCAAGCAAAAAATCAGTCAAACATGAACCAGATCAATCCCGGACGAGCCCCCAAATATGCCTACGGCAAACATGCTTACGGCCTACGATTTTGTATTTATTTTATTTATTTTGTATATATAAACACACCCACATACTTGTTTATACATTTGAGAAAATGTTTATTAATATTTAGAAATAACTATATTAGTTTAATATAATTTATTCATTTTATAATATATGTACATTACCGGTCAAAAGTTTGGGGTCAGTAGGATTTTTAAATGTTTTAAAATAAGCTTCTCCTGCTCACCAAGGTTGCATTTAATACATCAAAAATACAGTACAAATTGTAAAATTGTGAAATGTTATTGCTCTATAGAATAACTGTTCTAAAGTAGTTTATAACTTAATTTATTCCAGTGATTTTAAAGATGAAATTTCAATTTCATTCAGTCACATGATCACACAGAAATCACTCTAATATTAATTATTATTATTATTATTATTATGACAGTGCTTTCCACACATGAACTTTACTTGGGCGGGCCACCCAGGTATATTAATGGGCGCCCAAGTATATTTAGTGACACACTTTTTTTTTCTACTATTAATAAAATCTTTTTACACTTTTTTTTAAATTTTATTCGCCCAATATAATCAAACATCCACGAGCAATTAAAAAAATCTCTTATTTACCTGTACTGCTCGTTTCACATGCTCTGCAGACTCACAGAGACCCGCAACTTTTTGCATCCAGCCGGCGTTTCTAAATCTACTAAAATTGCTTTCGTTTTCTAAGCTGTCGTTAATCTTATGCGCACAGCCACGAGAGCGAGAGAGACATTAAATAATTATTTCTTTAATCTAAACGACTCAGAAAAACTTTACTAAATATTCTGAGGCGACGAAATGACATCTAAATTGGCGGCAGAATATTTGTATATTCTACACTATACTTAACAGAGCAAGGGAATTTTCACAGTATGTCTGACAATATTTTTTCTTCTACAGAAAGTCTTATTTGTTTCATTTCGGCTAGAATAAAAGGAGTTTTTATTTTTTATGAACCATTTTAAGGTCAAAATTATTAGCCCCTTTAAGCAAATTTTTTCGATAGTCTACAGAACAAACTATCATTATACAATAACTTGCCTAATTACTCTAACCTGCCTAGTTAACCTAATTAACCTAGTTAAGCCTTTAAATGTCACTTTAAGCTGTATAGAAGTGTCTTGAAAAATATCTAGTCAAATATTATTTACTGTCATCATGGGAAAGATAAAACAAATCAGTTATTAGAGATGAGTTATTAAAACTATTAAGTTTAGAAATGTGTTGAAAAAAATCTTTTTATTAATTATTTCAAAATAGAGCTTTTTAAGACAAGGAATTGTATTCATAATGCACCCACCTCATGACTGTAAAGTGTTTTGGGTGTCTGGCAATACATGATAAATGCACTATATAAATGCACATTACTTACTTGCAGAGTATAAATCACAGAAAAACTAAATATTGCAACGTCATATTTTTACAATATCAGTTACACGGTGAGATGCTGCTGTGTTCCAGTGCCTCATTTCTCTCCAGGAAGAACTGATAATCCAGACAAGTTAATAACCAGGCTCTCAGACTGAGGACCTAATCATGCTCTCATATTGACAGCCAGTGGATTATGTCTCGCTCACGTCTAGGTCGAGGACGCAATGCTGTTGCATAATCAGAAAGCGAGAGGAAAAGTCAGACATCTCACCTGTAGGCAAGGGATGATAACCGGTTTTTAACGTTTTCCATGGTTTACAAAAGTCAATGTTTGAAAACTGCTAATTTTTTTATTATACCATTTCAGGGTACATGTGTTATTTTTATGTGTTTTTTATGACTAATTTACTTAGTTTTTTTAGGGCAACAGTATCTCCAGCAGCAAATCACCATCTACATCAAAAGCTGCTGGTCAGCAACACTTGAAAAACAAATCACTTATACACCAACATTAGTGCAGTGGTTTACTTTATTTCCACAGAATAAAAAGATCTCCAAAGATGCCTTTAAAAGATCTAAAGAAAAGTGTTTTTGAAGACAGCAGAAGTCAATGATTTAGTTTAATTATTTAGCCTATGTTTACGGCTCCAAAATATTATAAATGTTTCTTAAAATAAAATATGCTGTGTTTAATAGACAATGAAGTTGTTGTTTTTACCCAAACATTTAAAAAGAACTTATTTGAGAGCAGTAATCACAATACCGTGAAGCCGTGATATATTTATGAAAGATTATCACACTGTTAGAACCTTATGCCTACTCACCTGTCACTGAGCACAGAGCCCTCTGCTTCAGGAGGAGCGATGGACAGCTGGAAAGGCGTGTTGAAGTAATGCTGCTGTTCATCAGATCTGTGCACCACCTCTCCGCCTCGAACCACCAGAAATCCTGAGTCTCCCAGGTTGGCTGTGTGGAGCCGGTGACTCTGTCTGTCTAGTACCACGATACATGCTGTACTGCTTCCTAAAGAGAGATAGACAGAGTTGTAAGAAAGCCATCAAATTCTTAGTTGGTAGGGGTGTCAAAATTAATAGTTTTTTCGGTGCACCGCGATGCAGACACGGGACAATTCGGTATCGGTTCAGTAATAATCATAACCGGTTATTGTGTACTGTATTACCCCTTATGCGCTCTGTCGCGAAGGAGGTGAGCGCGGGTATTTATAACACTCCTGGCGCCAACTGTGCACAATTTCACTGCGTGTGTGTGATTTCTGTACAGTCTTTCACTGACAGTTACAGCAGAAGCCCCTATTTCTCTGCAATTGAGGGAATGAAAGTACTCCATTTCTCTCTCTCTCTCTCTCTCTTACTGTGGCCCATTCAACCTGGTGTGACTTTTCCTCCCCTCTCTTTTCCTCTCGGCTGTATGCATAGGCGCGGGAATAAATTTCCGAATAAATCGAGGGAGCGGTCGGTAACTCTGGTGTGATTTTAACAGGAGTGGGCAGTCTCACAATATCGCTCCCGAGCAAGCAAGCGCGTTTGGCGTGTGTGTGTTTGTTTGGTGCTGTCTATGTTTGTGTATGTGTCTGAAAAAGAGACAGTTTGGTGCTTTGTGTCCGTGTGTGTGTATGTTTATACAGACAGCTTGTTATAGCCACCCCCCAAAATACAACACTGTGTATGGAAAGCATCGTCAATGCTCCGTGATACACTGAGATATCGAATTGAACATGATCGATGACATGATAATCGTAACTGAACTGGACCGTGAGACCAGTGGAGGTTCAAACCTCTATTAGTTGACATCAACATCTGTTTTTTTTTTTAATAATTATTTTTTAGGGGTTTTCACCTTTATTTGGATAGGAGAGTGGAGATTTTACAGACAGGAAATGTCGGGAGCAGAGATAGGGGAAGGATCGGTAAAGGACCTTGAGCCGGGTCGCCGTGAGCATCTTGGTGCTATGTGTTGACGCACTAACCACTAGACTACTGGCGCCGACAGTTGACATTAACATCTGTTTATTTTGCCGGCTTTAAATCTATATATGAGCAATTCCAGCGTTATGGATGTGACATTTGCAGAAAAAACGAAAAACATAAATTCAGAGTGAAAGTAAAGAATTCAGATGCAAAAGCCGCTAAACGCCACTTCGCCAAAAATAAAATAATGACATTAAGTGAATGCATTAGGCACATAGTACATCACCAACAAATAGATTTCCAAATCCCAGCCTCAGCGCATTCAGAAACAGTTTGTTGGCAAAAGCCTCTAAACGCCACCAGCATTTGACAGCAAAAGCCGCTATATGCCGAGAACCAATCAGAAGGCATGAATTGAATCATATGTTTTCAATGTACAGTGTGCTGATGAGTCGGCTTTAATGAGGAAAAATAGAGTGATGAACTGGATGAGCCTGTCTGACTGTCAGTAAATGGCAAATGAAAACGTCCCTTACCTCAAAACTCATTATATGTGTATTACATGAAAAAGAAAACACACTGTACAGTCGGAAGTGTTGCATGCTACTTTGAATGAGTCTGATTTACTAAACATTAAACAGCAACTGCGTCTCACGAAAGACGGAGTTAAGATGCTGTTCTTTTATCCCACGTGGATTCTCTAAGGACAAACAAGTGACCAAGACCTTAAGTATGGGTGAGTATGAATGAATGACAGCTTCTAAAATTGTCTGAGAGACATCGCCCTTTTTGCCCAGTAGGCCTACCTTGTGTTTTATTAGCTAATGTGAGATATTTTTTTAAAAGTTAAATATAATGTATAAAACTATACATTATTTGTATTCAGGGCTTTACATTAACTTTTTGGATCACCATCCACTGTGGCTAGGAGATTTCCAACATTACTAGCCACTTGCCATTTTCACTGGCCACAATTTTATTGTTTGGAAAATATATTTTATATAAATAAATGTGACTTTGACATGCTAAAATTACATGATTTAGATGTTGTGTTGTCCACATGCCTCCTCATTCATTTCATTAGTTTGTGTGTGTTGTGTATGAGCTTGCCCACTGTGCATGAGCAAATGGGTTGTGTCGCATTGCATTTGGTTTTTATTTCACATGACTTTTTAGGGCTCAAAATAAAGGTTTTACCAAATTCATCTCTAACCACACTAAAAAGAAATAATTATTTCTTAGCCACATATTTAAATGTCAAAAAAAGCAAATATATAGCTGTATACATACCTTTTTTCAACAAAACTTTTCTTTTTATTAAAAATTAACATTTAAAAAGATCTATTTTTTCCAAAATATGCACAATAATCTGTCCTGGCTAGAGGTCCCAGATCAGCAGTTACTACACACAAATGGGGAGTTAATCTCCTATTAAAGCAATGTTATTGTAAAGGATGATAATTAAACTATATTAACAAAAATAGCTGTAAGCAAAATAAAGCAAACATACCATGTGTTATAATGAAAGGATGATCACGTGCCTAAGAATAATTCAAACAAAAGCAGTGACTGCTGCTGTTGCTTACAAATATATATATTTTTCAATCTTGAGCTCTTAAAAGCAGCAGGACTGTGGGTACACGAGCATCGTTTTTGTCTAGTCTTTTTCAAAGAGAACCGATCGCAAGTGAACGGAAAAAAAGCATCACCTGTGCGCGCGAGTAATCATCCTCTCATATGGTATTCATCTGCTTTGTCTTGCGCGAACACAGTTATTGTTTTCAGTTGTGCTGCTTCTCGATTCTAAGATCACATTTGCACGCATATTGGGCCATGCTTGTTGTCGAACCCTGCTTTAAGAAAACTACAATGTAAAAATTAATTCCAACCTACCAAAGTGGCTAGTGGGAGCGGCTGTCTAAGCTGAAATCTACCCGCATTTGGCGGGTGTTAATGTAAAGCCCTGTTTGTATTTGTATTTATATTACCTATAGATCTGGTAAGCTTTTTTATTAATAGACAATGCACAGATATTGATGTTGCACAATGTTTTTACACAACATTATTTGAATCTACCAAGCTTAGTTTACAATGTTTCCAATAAAAAAGGATGTAAGGATGTGGCTTTTTTGGTTTCTTTTCTTGTGCGTAAACTAGCAACTAGCACCCCATCTGGAAGATTTTCTAGCATAGGGGCGATGTAGTCATTCCACTTCACTATTTGTAATGTTTCAATATGTATATAAATAATGATGGTTTTAGTTCCTTCACTTCAAAGCAGATTTGATTATCATAACTGGATTTGTTTACAGAGTTTGAGGTTTACTGCAACATTATTATTCACACCTTACATGTTGATCTCCCTTAAAGTTTGCTTTGATTGTTCAGAGTTTACAATTTACCATTGCACACACTTTGTAACATCTTATTTAACAAGTTTAAGAGTCTCTTTAACACTTTTATTTATTTTATTATCATTTTAAGACACAAGAGACGAGATATTTTTGTTTTTTTCCTTGTTTCACTATTAAAACTATTAGCCTTAGTAATGCTGGTAAATTAAAATAAAGTGGTTAAACAAAAAATCTTCAATAATTATCGATACAGAATGATATGAAACATGTTATCATGGTAGTTTTTTTTTTTTAATCTCTCAGCCCTAAGTTGGAAATGGTTCTAGACTGCAACTATGACCTGTAATTAGTGCTTTTTTGGTTGCATTTGGTTGTCAGAGTCTCATGCAAACTATGTCGATAAACTACAACATATAAATGTCAAATTGCTAAAATGTACCATATTAGTAGCCTCCCAGTTAGTCTTTAGACAGTGAAAAGACGTCAAAAGTTCCAAAAAAAAGGCCAAACCGCACAAAAACCTGTAATTGATCTTTGAATCTGTGCAGATTTAATACCAAAATCCAATCTTGTGACCCAGTACACTCTGTTCGTGACTCATCCAGCCCACAGCGTGTTTTTGAGGAAAAACGCACTCTACAATGACTCATTTCAGTCTATTATATTTTAGTTACGGCTTTGATCTCATCCTGAGAAACATGAGCCAAGCCGTTCCCAAAAAACCTTGTCCCTCCCAAGTCAGGAAAAATAAAACATCACTTGTAACCGTCCCAGAACATAACATCCATTCCGGAGTTTTATGGTGTAACCACGTGTCTCGCATGTCAGTGCACGCTAAGTAAAATAAGACTATGTTTGTGTGGTACTCTGCTTAAATCACACTGTATGGATAGTTGACCTAGATTTAAGATAGATGTCAAACTGTGATATTATTTGATGCACAAGTTGAAGTGAACTTCAGTGTGTAGCAGAAGATATGACGCATGCTCCTCTGTTTACGTAAGCGCATGAATGGAAGTGAACAGAACACAAAATTGCACAACCGCACCTTAATTGAAGCCAGAGCATAATGCTGTAATAGACCAACAGCCTCTAAAAAACAGACATCCACTGTTTGCGCGTAAAAAAGTAAGACGGAAAATAAATGATTTCCATGCAACTCTTTCATTTGAAGTAAGATTTCCACTGAATTCAGTTCATTAAAAGTGAACGTACTTACCTAATAGTGGTACTTTGTTCTGCAGTAGCTCATAGTAGCTGGTTGTGAGGATTCCCACTGGGTTGCTTGGCACAAATCTCCCCTCTTTAACCAATCGCTCGCACGTCCTCATAAGTGTCCCAGAGAACTGAGATGGGTCAACCCCATAGTCCCGCCAGCCACCTACTCCATCAGCCACACCTGTAAGGGACAGCAATATAATAACTGCTTTATTCATATTGAGTTATTTCAGCTATTTTACATTAAATAATTAATTTGATCTATATAATTTTGACCTTAAAATGTTTTTTGAAGTATAAAAAACTGCTTATATTCTAGCCAAAATAAAACAAATAAGACTTTTAAATATTATCAGACATACTGTGAAAACTTCCTTGCTCTGTTAAGAATCCTTGGGGAAATATTTAGAAACACAAAGAAATTCAAAGGGGGGGGGCTAATACTTCTGACATCAACTGTGTGTATATGTATGTATGTATGTATGTATGTATGTATGTATGTATATATATATATATATATATATATATATATATATATATATATACACACACTGAAAAGAAGTGTTGCATTCAGAGTTGTTGCAAACAATTTATTTGTGTTGAATTTAAACAAACAAATTAAGTTTAATAATGTTCAACCTAATTTGTTTGTTTAAATTCAACACAAATTAATTCTTTACAACCACTTAACGTAAAAAATTGAGTAAATCAAAGGAATCATCAATGAATAATTTTTTTCAGTGTAGGGCCTGACATTAACCTTTTTGATCACCAGACACAGTGGCTAGTAGTTTTCCAACATTACTAGCCACTCTGCATTTTCACTAGCCACCATTTTGTTGTTGGGAAATTATTTTATATGCATGAATTTGACTTTGACATGCTAAAATTACTTGATTTATATTTTGTGATTTGTCCACATGCCTCCTCATTCATTTCACATTTTGTGTGTCGTGTATGAGCAAATGGGTCATGGTTTCATAGTGTTATACTGCAATTATTATTTCTTTCACGTGACTTTTCAGAATTCAAAATTAAGGATTTACCAAATTTATCTCTGACCAACCAAACAATTATTATTTCTTAGCCACAAATTTTAAATGTGTCAAAACAAGCTAAATATAGCTGTAAACTTTTTATTTAACAAAACATTTCTTAAAAAAATAAAAACAATTGACTTTTAAAAATAATTATAGTCATGTATCAAAAATATGGACAGTAATCTGTCCACGCTAAAGGTCTCTCAGATCACCTGTTAACTACACATAAATGGAGAGTTAATCTCATTTTAAAGCAATGTTGTTGTAAAAAATGATAATTAAACCATAAACAAAAATAACCGTAAGCAATAGAGAACAGGTGAAAAACATACTGTGTGATAATGGAAGAATGATCATGGTTAAGGCCAATTAATATGCTGTTCAAAGCGAAAGCAATCGGTGCTGCTTACAAAAAGTCACATTTGGAGCTCTTGAAAGCAGCAAGACTGTGGGTGCATAGCATAACTTTTTTTGTCTGACTATTTGAAAGAGAACCGATCGCAGTTGCATTCCAGGCACGGTTCCTTCAAGCAAGGAAACAGGAGCGTGCACTCGCTTAAAACAGTCGCATGCATCACATCAGGTGTTTGAGTGAGTGATCATCCCTTCGGTATTCATCTGCTTTCTTGAGCGCTTTAATGGTCAAATAGGTGTCAAAACGTGGTGTTTAAGGATTATTCTTAACCTTAACTTATTATTATTAACCCTCAATTGTGTAATAAACAAACGAGTTGAGGATCAAAAGAAACATAAAAGCGAAACCATTAAACTTTAAAGTGACAGCGTAATATTTTTGCTGCCGCCCGTTTCGATCATTATTAATCAAACAACAAAACGAGAAAATCCCTCGCTGCTCTTGACTAAAGGACTTTTGTAGCTAAAGTGTTTTTCTTACAGTGAAGATGCTTAAAGCACAGTTTGTTTCATATTTTTCTATAGTGTTTATTTCTCTTTTCCCTTTGCAGGGAGGAAAATAACTGTATACAGCTGAAGTCAGAATTATTAGCCCTCCTGAATATTAGCAACCTTTTTCCCTCAATTTCTGTTTAATGGAAAGTAGATTTAACACATTTCTAAACATAATAGTTTTAATAACTCATTTCTAATAACTGATTTATTTTGTCTTTGCCATTATGACAGCACAATATTTGACTAGATATTTTCAAAATACAAGCATATAAATTCAAAGTATTTCATTTTCAAAGTAAGTCATTGTATAACAGTAGCTTCTTCTGCAGACAATAAAAAAATTATATTGCCTAAAAGGGCAAATAAATAATAATATTATAAATAATATTGACCTTAAAATAGGTTTCAAAATATTTAAACCTGCTTTTATTCTAGCCGAAATAAAACAAATAAGCCTTTCTCCAGAAGAAAAAATATTATGGGAAATACTGTTAAAATTCCTTGCTCTGCTAAACATAATTTGGGAAATATTCATTTTTAAAAACATTCTCAGGAGCGCTAATAATTTTGACTTCAACAGTAATCGTGTTTCAGCAAAACTTGACTTCATCAGAGTAAATTTGTTTTCCTTTAAACATAAGATTATATTCCTTACCCCACTGTCAGATTATTTTGCTAGTTCTAAGAAAAACCTCACTTAATTTTGACATAATATTTCTTAAAACAATACAATATGTTTTGCTTGTCTAGAAAATGCTTCTTGATTTAAGGATTTGAACTAGAATTAGAAATAAAATCCAAGCAATATAAGCATTTTTGCAGTGTATGTATTTTGGTGATGATACAGCTAATTTGGAAGCTAACCTAAAGCCTGATTTATACTTCTGCGTCAGGTGACCGGCGTAACCCACGGCGCAGGCAACGCGCGTGGCTGTGCATTTATACTTCTGCGCGCTGTCTCTGTCGGTCTGCATTAACACTTCCGAAACGCTAGTGGGCAGTGAGGTGTAAATGTTCCTCTGTGTCGAGTTTCTTCGCTACTTTTTTGCATTTCCTGAACACTTCCGGGATGTACAAGTGGCTCAAACTCGCTCATTTTGAGGCAGGAACCGGCGGACGTGCAACAACTTTAACTATGAGGTAAACACAAAACACAACTTTCCATCCGGAGCTCCTTCATGGTACTCCACACTTGTAAACAATCACTCGCGCGGCGTCGCGCCATTCGCGCGCCTCTCGGTCCCGCCCAAACTCGTCAGCGCTACCAAGCCGACCAATCACAGAGCTTACGCTACGCGTTGTTGCGACGTGTAGTTACATTTTTTGAGAGGTGCACGTCAGCGACGGCGATGGCCACGGCGAAGGGCTATGCGTCAGCGCCGTAGCATACGCCGGTGTTTGACGCAGAAGTATAAATCAGCCCTAAGAAGGAACTAACATAGTACCAGGCACTAAGTACAGAACATAGTGGAAAAGCACCCAAAATTAAGAGGTACTAAACCGATCCAAGCCGTACCATGCAGTAGAAATTGCCATTATAGGAGCATTCAAACAACTTGAATAATTTATCAGCATTCACACTTGTTGATCCAATAAAGCAATGTGCTAATTGTGAAATGCACATCAGGTCATGCATTTTGAGAAATCAAACAAACAAAATCAAACACTCAAAATTCTAAAAATGTCATGTGCATTTCTAAATTATTCCAACAGACAGGGAATTTTCCCTTCAAAGGCCTTCCAGCTTCCATTCTGATAGACAATGAACAGGAACCTTATTTTGTGACCATACAAGGCAAGTCCCCTCGCATCGACCTGCCTGTTTCTCATCATCTTGCCTCTAAAACACCACTGGGATTTCCAGAGCTGGATTGGCTGGCTTGAGGTTGAAGCCTCAATTCTTGCTTTATACTGTCTTTTTAAATGTGGCAGGCCTTCACAAAACCTGCCCACGAGTCTGAGCTGCAGAAGAGGATTTATGTCTCAGGTTAATTTGACTTTGACGTATGGCTGTCCAAGTAGGCTGTAGTAGACGCCAACTGGTCTTAACGCTATCGAGTGAGTACAAATAAATACTAATTGTAAACTGAAACTAAAAGGAAAGCCAACCAAAAATGGTTATCATTTACTCTACCTCCATTTGTTAAAGCTTGATTTTTTGATGATCATAGAGCTGGGCAATTTCAAAATCAAAATCTCGATTAATTAGATTTTGATTTGAACTCAATTATGATTAATAAATGATTGTTTTTTTTTTTCGTCCTCATAGTTCACTGACAAGTTTTGTACAGTAAATATGCTCACATATTACAAGTGAGTGATTTATTTGATTGAAGGGTGCATTACTTGATTTTGAAATAATTGAAGGAAATAAGCTCCAATGAGCTTGCGGCTCTTCACACTTGTCACCCTTACCAAACTGACCAATCACAGAGCTTTCGATATTCTCCTTGCAACGAGTAGTTAAATTTTTTTGAGAGATGCGTGGGTATGCGACCGCACAAAGGCTGCGCCGGACCATACAAGTACGGTCGACATTTATTCATTTTCTTGTCGGCTTAGTCCCTTTATTAATCCGGGGTCGCCACAGCAGAATGAACCGCCAACTCATCCAGCAAGTTTTTACACAGCGGATGCCCTTCCAGCCGCAACCCACACACACATTCACACACACATTCACACACACACTACGGACAATTTAGCCAACCTAATTCACCTGTACCGCATGTCTTTGGACTGTGGGGGAAACCGGAGCACCCGGAGGAAACCCACGCGAAGGCAGGGAGAACATGCAAACTCCACACAGAAACGCCAACTGAGCCGAGGCTCAAACCAGCGACCTTCTTGCTGTGAGGCGACAGCACTACCTACTGCGCCACTGCTTCACCCCTTGTACGCTCGAAACAGAAGTATAAATAAGCCTTAGCAAAGTGGGTCACGTAACTCCACACATGCTAGAGAAAGTAATAAAAAAAACGACCTGGAATAATTAGATCGATTATAGGTCCTGAATTTTGATTACTTTACAATTAAGCCCTATCATTTGGAAAATGCTGGAAACTAATAATTACTGACCCCTATAGCATCACCTTTTCCTACCATGGCTGTTTCCAACATTCCTCAAAATATATGATTTTGTGCTTAGAAAAATAAAATAAAAATAAACAAGAAACAGAAAATTGTTATAACTTAGACATGCATTGTCAGATCTGCCTCAATGTACATTTGATAA